GAGACCTGGCATGAAATGCAGGGCCGGAGGAGAGGGTCCCGGCGGCTGCTGGCCCCGTGGGGGAAGCGGCCAAGGCAGGGAGCAGCGGCCGAGCCCGAGGACCCTGGGAGGGTGCCGGTGAGGTGGTGGGTGCGCCAGCCCTGGCGCAGAGCCTGGCTCCCATCTTCCCATCCGGAGCAAGGCGAGGGGGAAGGTAAAACACAAGCCGGGGAGAGACGAAGCTGGGCTGCGGGGCAGCCTCCACGGACACCCCCAGCTCCCCGGCCAGAGCCCACCCTGTGCCGGCTGCAGCCGCCCCGAGGAGCCGCTCGCAGGTCCTGAGTGGGTGGGCAGCCTCTGGGAAAGCCCCGCCGGGGTTGTGAGGAACCTGCAAATCCCAGTCCCGGGTGGTAAATGGTCCGTCACCCCCAGGCCACGGCGACTGAGGGGCCCGGTGCATCCCGGGGGGTCCTTCCCCGCTGCTTGGGGCCAGCCCAGGGCTTGGTGGGCAGAGCTGTCCTGGTAATCCCAGTCCATCCAGGACGGTCTCCCCTTCCCAAACCCAGTGTGTAGTGACAGAGGAAACCAAACAGGAGAGCAAAGAACAAACAAATTAAGAGAAAGAGAAACCGTATAGAGGTGTGTGAGGCTTCGGGCACCAGCTGCTACTGCCCCTTGGGGATGAAGGGCTCCCCCTCCTCCGGCTCCGGCCGCGGCCCCGGGTCGCTCAGGCATCGCAGCATCCGCTGGTTGCTGGGGCTGTCGCCGGTCCCCGGGGTGAAGACATCATCAGTACCCGGGGAGGAAGGCTCCTTCACCCGCATCACCAGCCCCTCCTCATCCTCCTCGGGTGAGGGCGGAAGGCCGCCGCAGCCCTTGGGCTCCTCGTTCATCAGGTCCACGGACTCCGGGGACTGCGGGGAGGCTGGGTCGATGGTGATGATGGGCAGGTTCTCTGAGTCTGCTTTGGGTTCGTAGGCCAGCGGGTCTGGGGGAGGCAGAGAGGGGTCAGGCAGGGCCTGTCTTGTGGTACCATGAACAAATCGGGTCGGGGTAACCCAGAGAAGGGAAAGGGGGAACTCTCAGGGACCTTCGGCCAGTTTGGGGCTGGGATGCCTGGGCTTGTTCACTCTCCAATTTCCAATTCTGATGTTTAATTCCTTTTTTTTTGATCTCCACATGCCACCTGGAGCCGCTCCAGACAGCCCAGCCCTGTGCCGGTTGCAAGGGCCGAAGCTGCCCTCTGCCGATTAACCACCAGCTCAGCAAGCGCCGCGTCACACCCCGTCACACCCGTCACGCTGTCCCCAGAGCAGGGGAGGACACGCAGGACAGGGGGAACCAAAGATGGCAAAGCAAATGCGTGCTGGAGAAGCCGGAGAGTCCAGGGGCAGGTCTCTCCGGGCTGAGCACTCCTAGAGCTCTCCTCTGCGGAGAGGAGAGGCACGGCCAGAAATGCAGCTGCAGGGACAGAGCGAGCTGAGCTCCGGACAGACCTCCCGACCGGGCAGGCTGAATTCCCGGTGGGAATCCTGCCGGGAGGTGAGCTGGGGGCTTCTGCTCTGGCAGAGCTGGGGCTGGAGAACACCAAACCCCTGGCTGCATGGCCACGGGGGAGCGGGATGGGGCTGGAGAGCCGCAGAGGAGCTGGGGGGGAGCAGGACAACGCAACCTCCAAGAGCTTCAGCACCAAAGCCCCAGCGATGCCCAGCGAGGTGCCGGCAGCGGCGCTTCCCGGGCAGGTCAGACCCACCTACCTGAGCCTATGCGAGCCCGGGACATGGTGGGAGAATCGAGTTTGTGAGCCGGCACCGTCAGGTAGTTGTTCATCTGGAATCGGAGCACAGGGACTGTCTCCATCGGAGCGGTCAGGTCAAATGGGGAAGGGGGGCAGGGAACTGACCCCAGGTCACGGGGATGAGCAGGAGGCAGCAGCAGGATGCAGAGGACACGTGCACGCATCCTCCCAGCCGTGCTGCAAGGACTTGCTCAGAGCCTTGGGGTGCTCAGAGGACCTCCAAGGCGTGGGGTCACCCACTGGATTCTGAACCTCAACCTCCTCCCCATGCAGGACACCCATGTCCCTCCCAGGCAGGGAAGCCCCCCTCAGCTCCCCGTCCTCCCCAGCCTGTGGCAGCGTCCCCTTGACACCTTCTGTTCCAGCTGCCGGGCCTTCTGCCTCCGCAGGAGCATCTGATTCCAAGCTTCCTCGTAGGGGTCAGCCACAAGCGTGTGCCGGTTGTAGGATCGCAACTGGGAAAAGGCCCCAAGAAAAGGAGACGGGTTAAAAAAAAACACACGGAAAGACAAAGAGAGGTCACGGCACCGTTTCCTTTGGAGATGGATGAAGCAGCCACCAGCGGGCAGAGCACGTCCAGGAAAGCTGGTGGCTCAAGCCTTCTGTGCTACCATGGGATGTCTGATCTGGACCCACCTTAGCCCAAGCGAAGGTTTAAACACTGAACTCAGCCACCAACTGAGCCAGCCTCCCCCTCAGCACTATCCCAGCACCATCCCAGGAGGAAAAGCCTCCTAGGGAGGGAGAGCCAGACCAGGAACACGAGGGGCAGGAGGGCAGAAACACTGGGGGTGAAGGGTAGGGCTAGTCCCGTGGGCTTCTGGTGGGAAGTGATGCTGGCCACCCACAGGGAAGCAAAGGGGCCACGCACAGTGCCAGGGGACACCTTACCCTCTGCCGGGTTTTCTGCAGGTTGTTGCGAAGGATTTTCCGGATCTCCTCCTCCTTGTCCTTGGACAGGGCCGGAAGGATGCGCTCCACAGGGAGGGTCTTGGGGTTGATGTTCCTGCGTGGACAGACAGGACTGAATGACACTGCGATGGCCATGGCAGGGCCCAAGGGCTGCTTGCCCTGGTGGCCACTAGCATGCCCTGTGGCCACTAGCAGGGAGTGTTCAGCCTACACCAGGGGCCTGTTAAGAGGCACAGGGGCAGCCAGGGCTGGGGAACTCACTGGATGGAGACGGTGGAGACAGCAGAGGGGATCTTGCCTATGCCCCCACTCTCCACCAGCTCGATTGCTTGCTTCATCTCCATCTTGTGATAGAAAGCGATGAGCTGGGGCTCCTTGGATCGCTCCCCTGCAATCAGGCACTTCTTCACGTACTTCTTGTTGAAGCGATTCAGCCTTCCCGAGGACGTGGGGAAAGGAGGAGCAGTGATACATCAGACCTCTCCCTGCCCTGGCACCCGCTCCTCATCCCCACCCCAGCCCAGCAGGAGATGGTTCAGTTCCCACCAACGCAGGTGGGGCCAGACTTCCCCGACTCCCTCCGAAACACAACGAATGGTCCTGAGCTCCTGCGGGGACCCACCACCTGCAGCTCCCCCAATGCTGTAGACTGTGGGGTGGTGAAGGGGTGCAGCCCCACTCGCACCCAACCCAGGGCTGTAATTCATCGAGGGGAGTGTGTGTTTTACAGCCCGGGGAAAAATCCAGCACAGGGCTGGAAAAGCTGCAAAGTGGGGATTCAAACCCTTCTCCATCTCCCCCACGGGTCCCTCAACTCATGAAACCTCCTCACTCACTTGTCCTTCCAGTGGTGGTGCCCGTAGTGACCACAGATATCCTCGATCCCCGTCAGAAGATGATCCAAGAACTGGAAGAGAAAGTCCAAGGCATAGGCAGCTCGCAGGGCTGTTGCCCACCCTCTCCCCACCCCGACACCCACGCTGACACAGGGGTGAGGGCACTCAGGGGGTGCAAAATCAGGGCTGTGGGTCCAGGATGGGCCTCAGGAGGGCAGCACGGTCCTACGTAACCGGGCTGCGGCTCTACCAGGCACAGGGGAGGTCTGGGTCCGAGCGGGCAATGGACGACACAGACAGGGGAGAGCCCTCGCTCCGTCCCCCCTTACCTTGGGCACCGATTTAGGGGCAGCTCCCGCTCTGTAAACCCGCCTGGCTACAGCGGTGGAGGTGGCAGAAGCAGAAAGAGAAGAGGGCTAAGGCGGCGAAGAGAAGCGCGCGGGAAGGGCTGGCCGGGCACAGCGGGTTACCTGCGTGTGGATTTCTTCGTTGATGGAGCGCTTTGTCTCTTGCTTCTTCTTCACGGCCAGCAGGTCCACCAAGGGCCGGATGGTCATGCCCTAGGGAACGGGGAGGGTGGGTTAGACCCCTCCCCAAGGCACCCCAGTGGGAGCGGGATGAGTTCAGCACAGCTGAGCCAAGGGGCTCTGCGCTGACGGTGTCACCGAGCAGCCTCAAGCTTTTGGAGAAAGGGGACAGTGACAGGGTCAGGGATGGAGGCTGGGGACATGCTCCTCACACACACGAATAACCCGTTTTCTCTCTGAAACCACGCTGTGAACACCTGCCCACCACCAACCTGCACGAAAACTGTGAAGAAGATGACCGTGATGATGGCTGTGAGGAACATGTCCCTCATGCCGAAATGCTTATAGTCCAGGAGGTAGCAGAGGGAGAAGGCGATGGCTCCCCGAAGGCCCCCGTAGGCAATGATGAACTGGTCCTTTGGTGTCAGCTTCACAATTCGGAACTTATTGATGAACCAGGTGAGGACCAGGACGCCTGGGGGAGCGGGGCAGGGCCTCGTATGAGCAGACAGTGAAGGATGCCCTCTGGCCCTGAAGAAACCCCCCCGCCCCCGGCAGCCCAGCGCACAGCCCAGAGCAGTGTCACCCCCTTGGGGACATGGGTGCAGGTGGGTGCTGTCCTGCTCGCTCATCCCAGCACTCCTCACCAGCGCCACCCCACAAACATGGCCTTAACCCCATCTCTCCACAAATCCAACTACCAGCTAGGCTGATGCCCAGTGCTACCCAGCCAACTCCAGTCTCCCCAGCAAGGCAAACCAGGGCCTCACGGCCCTGAGAGTTGCCCATCCCCAAGGTCTTTGCCACCTCGCTGACATCTCACCTAAAACTCTCGCGATGAGGCAGAAGAGCAGCGTGCTGATGACGAAGGTCCAGTTCCAGTAGTGGTGGCCAGCCACGGTGGAGACACCCAGGAAGATGAAGATGAGGGTCTCGCTCACGCTGCTCCACATCTTGAGGAAATACTTGATGGTGGTGTGGGACTTGTGGGAGATGTTGGCTTCCACATAGGGCCGCATGACCACACCGGAGGCGATGAGCCTAGGGGCAAGGTCAGGGCACTCAGAAGCCGTGGGGACATGGGGACAGCCCCAACCTCTGATCCTGCAGCAGTGTTTTTGTGCTCTTATACCAAACTCCAGAGTAGGACAGGCCTTGTGAGACATCAGCAATTATTCAAGGACTCCAAAGAAGGCAACATGAGGTTTCTTCTTCCCCCTGGCAGGGCAGGAGTGAGCACTGGAGCCAGACAGCACAAAACTGTGTTGTCTTGAGCCCTGCCTGCTGCTGTGTGCCCAAGAGAACGGGCAATGGGCTGCCAGCACCCCGGGATCTGTGTGACAACTCAAGAGAGTCACTTTCCTCATCTGCCTGCGGGCATATCCCAGCCCAAACACACCTCTGGGCACGTACTGGCCATGCTGGGACAGCCAGACAGCTGTGGTTACACCAGAGTAAACCCTCCCAAAGGGTCCTGGGGACAGGAGGGCGTCTCATCCCACCCGTGTCCAACTCACGCCATGATGCCGGAGAGGTGGAAGAGCTCAGCAGAGAGGTATGCCATGTAGCTGTAGAGGAAGACGAAGAGGGGCTCGATGACTCGGATATGGGAGGTGAAGCGGGACGTGAAGGCAGCGATCACCCCATAAATGACGCCCACAAAGACGCCGCCCAGCGATACCACGAAGAAGCTGAGGAAGCCGAGGATGATATCGATAATGGTCACCTGCTCGAAGTTGGCAAACTCCTCGAAGAGGTGGTAGAGGACCTGGGAGAGGGAGAAGGGGGTGTTCAAACTGCCCTGCTGGCAAGAGACAGCCTCACCTCGGAGGAGACCTGCACAGGGACCTTTCTTGGGAGAGCAGCAGCAAAGTGAGCCAGGCAGGTAGCCGGCATGGCACACTTGAGATAAGGTATGCCAGTGCTCGGTGACCCTGAGCTGGGGCAAGCTTCATGCCAGAAAAAAAAGCTGGTGGTGCTTTCTGTGTGAGACACAGAGCTGGAGAGACCAGCTCCCCGTTTTCTGTGGCTCACAGGGACATGGTGCCATCAGACATGTGGCTGGGGCAGCTCTGCTCTCTAACACAGCCCCGATTGCTGTCCTAGGAGGGGCTTCAGTCAAGGTCTGAACCTGCCAGAGACTGTTCCTGTCTCCCAACGAGCAGCTCAGGACAGATCCAGGCTGCGGGACACCTGAGAGCAGTGTGAGGAGAAAAGCCAACGTCTGCCCTGCTCAGCCCAGAGAACAGCCCAAACCCTTAGTGCAGCTTTGTAGCTAAGAGGGCAACCACAGAGGAGGAGCCCATCGTGGGCTGCATCGTCCCCTCCCACCCCCAGTCACATTTACTGGAGATTTTAAAACAGAAGCTGACGCAGCTGTGTGAGGATGGAAAATGGGCTCCGGGGCATCCTGCGGGGATGGCAGTGCTTGTGAGCAGTGAGAGGACGAGGTGCCAACTCCTGCCTGCCAGGGCCAGGTCCTGGGCCACGGGCAGGGACAGATGCGACAGCAGAAGGCAAAAGCATTCCCCAGGGATGGGAGCAGGGACATAAACCCTGCAGGGAGCCCCGCTGGTCAAAAGTGGGGAGAAGTGCCTGGGAAAAGCCCTGTGGTGGGACAGCACGTTCCTCGCCACCAGGAACCTCGTCAGCAGTGCGCTGAGCAGCCAGCTCCGGGGCGGACAGCTGGGGTATGGGAGAAGAGCCAGGAAAAAGCAGCGGGTTAGAAGTAAATTTAGAGGTCAGCTCTGCATAGAGGAGGACGCCCCGCTGACGGCCAAGCCAGCACCTGGACACAGATGTCCTCTGGAAACGGCACGGCCTCAGAGTGGGTGGCCAGGGCCCCAAAACCTCCCGAAGGTCCCTGCAAAGCTGCTGCTTAAAGGAAGGGGCTGAGGGGTGACCCAGGCAGATGCCAGCCCAGTCGCAGTGCCCACAGCTTCCCCCTCACCTCAACTGTCCCCCCACCTCCTCAGTGCTGCAGCTGAGGGACAGCAAGGAAGACCCCATGAGGAAGGAGACAGGAGGGAGCAGCAGGTAGATGGCAGTTCTGCCTGACCCAGCACCAGCCCCTTGGCACCCCTGCTCGTTTTCCCTGGCAGCACAGGCACGAGCATGGCATCAGGCAGAAATTTCACCCAGGAAAGCAGATTCCCAGGAGACCAAGGCACTGGGGACAGTCCTGCTCTTTACTGAGAGGCAGTAGCTGGCTGGGCATCCGCTATCAGTCTGCCCAGATTGCCAAGTAAAATGATTCACCTTAACCTACCTCTGCGGTGTTTTAAGCCACTATATTTAGCTTTGCACCTGCAAAAGGTCAGGAGCAAGTGGAACAGCTGTAGCTCAGCTGGCAGGAGGCACCTAGCAGCTTGCAATGGCCCAGTCTACAGTTCTGCCATCGGTCCTGGTGCCACCACCCAGAGATGCTCCACCAAAGCGAACCCCATCCCACTGGCCGATCCCCCTCATCCACTTACGACTGTGACGGCATCATTCAGCAGGGACTCCCCAAACACCAGGATGTGGAGCAGCTCATTGATGTGGATTTCCTCAAAGACAGCCAGCACAGCCACCGGGTCCACAGCCGAGATGATGCTGCCGAAGAGCAGGTTGGCCAGGAGGCCAATGTGGTTCAAGCCAGGGCCACCGAGCTGGCACACGGCGTACATGAGGCCACCCAAGAAGAAAGCATTCCAGAGCGTCCCCACCACGGCGAAGATGAGGATGGTGCCCAGGTTCTCAGTGAATTGGCGCAAGGGAAGGAAATAGCCGGCATCCAAGATGATGGGTGGGAGGAGGAAGAGGAAGAAGATGTCCGACTTGAGGATGGGGGGCTTTTCACCCACTCCTTTGATGAGCCCCCCAACCAAAAGGCCCACCACTATGAGCAGACAGCTCTCAGGTACGATGTTGGACACTGAGGGGATCACGTGGAAGCCTGGAGAGGAGGAAGAGAGAGCAAGACACACATTGGCTATGCAAACAGAGGATGCTCTCTGCAGGACGAACACCCCTGCGGGAGCTGGGGACCAGTTCCCAGCCCTCCCTGCACGCGTCAGGATCATTTACTCTTTGTGTGCCTCAGTTTCTCCTTCTAACCCACTTCTTCCCCATGGTCTCAAGCTGTGAAGTAGAAACTGCAGCTTCACCAGACCCACATACCCTGGCACTGTTTGATCTCAAGCCAGAAAATAACAGTGAGTCCCAGTTCAACAGGCAGCAACTGCCCTCTGGGCACCCCGGGGTTTCTCAGGGGACCCCCAGGCCCCCACGACAGCCGTCTGCAGCACAGGCAGTTCTCACAACACAAGCTGTCGCTGGCTCCAGCTCTTCCCGTCACAGCTACTAATCCCGAGCGCACGTAGGCACTGGCATTTACCTCCTGTCAGACGGCAGCCTGCCCACCGAGTGCCGTTACACCCAGCGTGCCAGGCTCTGGCAGGAGGCAGCAGCACAGAGCCCATCCCTGGGCGTCCCTGACGCAGGGGACAGGGAGGGGAGCTGGTGCTCGGTGGGTTTGCAGATGCAATTGGAGCGGCTCCTTATTCCCCCTCCTGTAGCTTCAGGAGCAAGCTGGGAGGCTGCAGGCTGGGCTGCTCCCAGAGCAGGGCAGGACACATCCTTGGGGTGCAAGGTAAGAGGGAACTCAGTTTCCCCTTTTTGAATCACAACATGACCCCAAATGCGGGTCTCTGAGCCAGCCGTGCCCCGCTGGGGTGACATCCATCCACTAAACACCCCACAGTCTTGGCAACATGGGCATCTGCCTGCCCAGCCGGGCAGACAGCACGATGCCAACCAAAGCAACGCTTCAGCCAACGCACCGATACCCACAGAAGGATTTTTGGGTCCCCTGGATCCTCTCCCAGGCTTTATAATTATTATTTTGAAGTGAGGCACATTTGTTCCCTGGCAAGGGAAGCAGTTTAAAATAAGGAACCCTGCCTTGGCATCCCGTGTTCCTCCGTTCCTTCCGGCCGGGCGGCTGTGCCATCTGCACATCGTTTCACAACAGATTTTAAAAAAAAGACAAAAAACTTCCCCAGTGAGCCACCATCCCGATGACTATCAGGAGCGGCTCTGCGTCACGGTGAGCCCTCCCGCCCCCTCTGTCGAGCCTGCAGGGACCACATCTGCGCCGTGCTGCCGGCTCATCCCTCTTCCACCTGCGCAGCGAGCGGGGAAGGTGCCGCATGAATCCGGCAGCTGCTTCCACAATCCCTCCCTAAGGGCCAGCAGTGAGTCAGGTACCGGCCACGGCGCTGTGCGGGTCCCCGAGGGCAGGATTAGACCTCAGACTGTTACCTGAGCTGCAGGTGCTGCCTCTGGTATGGGTGAGCCCAGCCCTGCAGAGGCTGGTGGATTCATCACACCCAAGGCTCCATGCACATGCTCCAGCCACACTTTTTCAGCAGCACCCAGGCAGCTCTGACAGGTCTCGGGTGCTGGAGTGATGTGGGAAGGAGTCTGGTTTCTACCTTGGCTTTGCTGCAGCAGCACTCATCTCTGAGCAAACTGCTCTGTGGCCTTTGGGTGTGGGCACGAGGGGATGCCGGGAGCAGACTGGGAGCATCTGAGCTTTCTCCCACTGCTCTCCCAGTGTCTGGCCACCGGCGTTCAGGGACCTCCCAGGCTGGATGTGGTACCTGATTTACCCACACAGGATTTTTCTTCCGTGTCCAATCCCCCCCGGAGCCCATGCTGAGCACCCCAGGGCAGCCCTGGCAGGGAGCTGCCCGTGGGAGGGGACATGATAATCCATTTTCCAAGCATGGCTCATGCAAACACCTGAAACAATAGGCCCTTCCAGCACACCGGGCGGTTGCCTGTCTTGGCATACACCAGCCCTGGCCAGAATAAGGTTTAAAGCCACACAAGCAGCGAGAAGCCCGCAGCAAATCAGTTTTTGCTTGCTAAGTACGTTCAATCATGAATAAAACACAAACACTGACAATTAAGCATCTCTCACTTCTTCTCCACAGGCCCCAGGATCCCATTAAACTGGAACATTCGCGCGCTGATGTGAATTCAATGTTTTAGAGCTTTTTTGTAGGGCCCTAAAAATACACTCACATGGGCTGCATGTTAATTATGCCTTTGATTTCACTGAATCTCAGCCATTTTTCACTCCCTGCTTTCTCCGCTCAGTATTTTTAGAGCACTCGAAAGCCCATCGGTACCAATCTGTTGCTGGGATCCTGCTGGGATCCTGCTCCGAGTGCCGGGCTGGCATCCCACTTTGGGGTAGGGGCGATTAATGGGAAGAAATGCTCTCGCCGTGGGGGTGATGCCAGGCAGGGGCAAATTGGTCCAATCTCAGCTCTGTGGCTGAATTTCTCTCCCGGAGGAAGAAGGAGGCTGCAGCAGGATGCTGGGCAATGAGGATGCCTGGCCATGGGCACATCCAGGTGCAGCAGGAAGAGGAGTAAGTCTTGATAATAGCAATAATAGTAATAATAATAATAATAATAATAATAATTAAAAAAAGTCTTAATAACCCCCAGGCTCCTGTTCCCAGCTGCTTTGGTAAAAGGCTATTTGCACAGTGGGTACCTGTGCTGCCTGCCTGCCCCGGTACCTACTGCTGCCACCCACCTGTCCCCAAATGTGGTGGCTCTGCTGCAAACTAGGACTCAGCTACTGCAGTGGGAGCTGCAAATCCTCTGCCAGCAGCACAAACCTGGGACGAGCCGGGAGGCAGGGAGGGGGGACAGTAAGACCCTCAGCACTCCTTTATTTTCCTCTGTTAGGCAGCAAGTGTTTCTTGCCGCAGCAGAATGGCTGGAGCCATCATCCGCGAGGTCTCCCTGGCTGGGAGGGCTGTGCTGCCTGCATGGGAAGTGCTTCCCGAAGGATTGAGGAGCTGTAATGGAGAGGCAGCGCCTGCACCAGGCGTACGAGACTCCCAGCACACCACTGCCAGCACACCCTGAATAAAAAAGTGATGCGGGAGTTGGGGGGGACAAGGCAGCCTGGTCTCCGGCACATCCACATCCGGAGGATGAGCAGGGATGTGCAGGAGCAGGCAGGCAAGCACGTGGAGGAGCAGCTTTTCCCATGGAGAAGCACCCACTGGGCTTCAGCTGGTTTTCCTGAACCCCACCAGGAGGGAAGTCCCCTGAGACCCCATTTCCCTGAGAGAGATCCAAGATCCCCAAATCACCAGCACTAGGCACACGGAGTCGCCCAAGTTTCTTCCTTTGGAAAACAAAACTCCATGGGATCAGTTCCCCTATCAACAGCATCAAACACCACAGAAACTATTAAAAGCAAGACCAGTTGAGTAAACATCAACCCCGAGAGCTTGAGCAAACAAGCAAAAAGGAAATCCAGAAGTTAATAGTTGCTATTAAAACAGTTCCTTGCCCACATCACGCACCCCGGGTTGCTTGGGCCCAGCAAGGCGAACATGGGAATCGCTCTCTGCTGGTGGTCAGCTCTTCCTCGGGTTGGGGCAGAAAGGAGCTGGGGACTGGTTTTCCAGTTTTAACCACTGTTTAGGCAGTTGAAGGACAGGAGGAAATCACCATCCTTCAAATTAAAGAGATTTTGAGTAAGGAATGCTGTTGCAAGGCAATGTTCGTGCTGCAGAAGTTTGCTTTGCTGCTTCTGAATGCCAGTTCTCTTAATTTTGGTGTCAGCAGATTTGCACGGGGCCACTTCTATCCAAGCGCAGGTAATTGAGGGCAACAGCAGGAATTTTCCTCCACTAACTACGGTGGTGGCAAGAACCACTAGTATCTGCTGGACTGCAGCAAGGCAGGTTATTTTTCCCCCTAGGTACAGAAAGCAGGCTCGTATTTTGGAGGCTATGGAAGCTGAATGAAGACACAGGAGCACGGCCCCTGCACGGCAAGCTGCCTTCAGTCTTCAGACTTTGCCCCACCGTATGTGAGGGCTCCCATTTCAAGCTGCTAAAAGTTCCTCCCCATCCCACCAAGGGGGAGCCAGTTGCTTTTCCCAAGGCCCTGGCTGCTGGCAGATGCAGTGCCATGTAAATATTTACTCCCGACCAAACAGCTTGGGAGAGACTCTGACCTACGTGTGGTTCTTTCCTCCCTCAGCTGTATCTGGGTTACCGCAGCCCCGGCGCACAGGCCGGATGCTGTGCCTGGCATTACGTACGCTCCATCCAGTAGTGTCTGCTCCTTTGCTGCCTAATGACTCAAAACCCACCATATCTGATCTCTTTCCATCCTCAGCCTGGGCAGGAGGAGCCTGAAGGGATATTGAGGTAAGGGACACAGAGGGAAGGGTGCTGGGCACCCAACCCAGACCCAGCATCCCCACCCTGGGGGAGTGCTGCTGTCAAAAGGAGCTGGGTCCCACACAAGCATTCGCCTGGGGTGATGCTTCTTGGACTGCAGCTGAAGTAGAGGCGATCTCCATGCCCTGAGCTTCTCACAGCAATTTGGAAACACTCTCTCAAGGCCAGGAGGAGATGATTTGCAGCTCTCAAACCAACAACAGCTCTCGAGGCAGCTCCGGTGCTGGGAACTTACTGCAAAAGGAAGCAGGGAGTATCCCCCTTTGCTCAGCCCAGCCTCATCCCACAACAGAAAGCCCCAAGGACCACAGGCACTGTGTCCTACAGCATCTATAAGGTCCCCTCCCTCCCTCCCTGATGGCATTTCCCTGTTCCACCCATGCGGGACTTCTCTCCCTTCCCATCACTCCATACAGCTCCGTATGGCATGGGACCCAAGGTCAGGCTTAGTCAGAGCTCTGACAGCTCTCCCCTAATTTTAAAGACCCCTCTCAAAGCAGTGCAGAAAGAGCACTTTAAGAACTTTTTAATCAAACACTTCAAAAGAGTACTGATGATGAAAGAAAGGCATCATCAGAGGCAAAGCACTGCTCCAGGCCAGTTCTGAGAGATGTCGACATCTCCCACCCTGGCTCCCACCATGGGGACATTCCTGGAGTCGGAGCTGTAAG